GAAGACTATAATTTGAAGTTCAGTTCTCAGAAAGCTTATGAAGAAGGGGAAGATTTCAGCACTGTGGATAGGCTTGATTACAGTGACTATCGGCCACATAACCAATTTAAACAAAGATACACTCCTAGCAGTCAAATAGGTGATCTTGGTGGCTGGAAGTCTTCATTAAATATGCAAGAGTATCCTACAGGTGATACTTATGCTTATAATAATGGAAGGAGAAGTGGATTAACATCAAAGCATGCTGCAGAAGGGATGAGATCTGATTATGGATCCGATCATCTTCACACCTCCAGTGGAAAAGTTACTAACAGAAAAAGGGAGTCTTGGTTGAATGACTATGACGCTATCCACACAGGATTTGTCCAAAACAGTGAGATAGTGAGACCTAGACCTTCTAATCTGGTGCTTCAGCATAGTGAGTCTTTCAATGCAGGAGAGGGAGGGCCATCTAAAAGGATTTCGAAGGTCTAATCCTTACTTTGGTACTTATTATCTTAGATAGTCTTCAATTGATACTGAATTTGTATATAATATGCATTCGTACAGGAGAAGAAACGCAATCGAGAACGGGAGACAACTGCGGGATACATCGAACCACCCAGAGAGAAGATGCGTCCACCTAAGGAAATGGCAGTAAGTTCTCTTCTTCACTTTTTTGCAACTACATCCACCCACATGCTTGCTGTGTATATGTCATAGCACACACTCATAAAGAGAGTTTCATGTTATGCAACCATTAACTCCTATATTTGCCGTTTATTATCTTCAAGTCTGCAAAGCGGGTCAGAACTAAGTTTCCGCAGCAAGATTTTGTGACAAAAACATCAGCAGTCGTGCCTCCATGGAAGAATCAGATGAAAGGGTCAGTCTACTTCATTTTTCAATTATGCATGTGAGACTTAGCCCTTTTCCATATGCATGGGAGTACCATAATATAGTTGCTCATTTGCATGCTTAAGTACTTGGCTTAACCCTGCATTGTTTAAGCTAACTATTGTTGCTGATCATCAACACATAACTCTAGCAATGTTGGATAGATGCCGTAAGAACGACTATTTAACTTTTACCGAAAACAATTTGATGGGGTGAAATGATAGGAACATAAGACTTGTGGTGGGAGATTTCTCTCTTGGAAATCAGTTAACCCGCTGTAATGTGAGAATTCACTTGAATGGCCAGGATTCGGATGCTGTTGATTGATCTAGAACAACTTTAGTGATGAAGGTTATTGTGCATATGAAGATGAATAATTTTATCATTTAGTACATAGTTCATTGATGAGAAGTCGCTTTCGAGTATGGATAGGGCTTTTCTTTCTTCTTGCTTGTAATGGGAGCTGTTCCATCACGTTCTTTTGGCAGTGTAGTGCTGTAGTTGGAGAAGTGACGACTGTGCCATGGCTTGCTTTTTGATGAAACGCCTATATGCACCCTGATAAAAACTAAAGCTAATATCAGGAATCAGGTCAATCAGATCTGCGTATTGTTGAGATCTAAGAGAATCCTGAATCAATTCTAGGAGAACAATCACAATTGGGACTTTGTGAATGAGTTGTTCTTTGTTAACATGAGGACATGTATTATTGTAGTGGTCAAGTTTTTCAAAGTACTTCCTGTACTAGTTTCAGTCAATTGGCCTACGTCTTGGCTGTATCAGGGGATTATAGTGAGCCTACAAATGCTATAAACTGAATTATGGTAGCTACTGCTTTCAGGGGGAATATTTAGCTGTTTGAGAATTTTCTTCTATATTCTTTGCTGTAACTTTCCCCCAAATTCCTGCTTTACCTTTATTGACAAGACTTTCAGCATTCACTGAATCTGGTTGCTTCTGTTGTCTCGTTGCATTATGCGGAATGCAGTTCTGCCGCACAGATGCCATCTAGCTTGAGTAATGATGAAGCTGCAGACACAAGCTCTTCGCTAGGGTAGGCATTCTACAGTTTGATGGGTGGTCGAAAGCGTAGCAATCGACTGATTTTTCCGCGGGAAGAAACAACGATTGTCAAGCCCCATCTACTAACAAAAATGTAGCTGGGGGATGTATAGTTGGAAAGCGAATGTCCATATTAGCCGCAAAGGCCAGCTTATTGTTTTATCAACGAAGCCTTATCAATGTTTTGCTGTGTATGTTTTGTGGGCCTTAGGCTACTTCTTTAGCTTTAGAATTTTTCAGTAGTTCAGCTGCTTCATTTAGGAGGAGGATTGAAGCTTGAGTGTAAATCTTGTTAGCCTGAAGCTGTAAGTTGTAGAGCTATTTAAAATCCGACATGATAGGTTAACCTGGTATGCTGACTGACTGCTCCGTGATGGCAATGCTGTGACTGTAAAGCTCATCGCGATGGAGGAGGCCAAAGCAATGACCTGAATTTGCAATATAATGTTACCGCCAATGCAGCTTCAACCTTATGAGTTTGCCGCATTGATCCGTATCGCATCTACAATTTAACATTGGCGTAGCTTTAATGTTGATAGATCATTTGGCTTTTGCGTTTTCATGTGTCCTTGCAGTTATGATTCAGGCGATGCCCCAATTGGCATGAGCAGAGTTTTGGCAAGTTAATGTGATTTTTATGTACAGGGTTCATCAAGGTTATTGGGCTCTTGTCACTTGCTCTTACCCCCTTGTTTTGTTGCCAGGAACAGTGTATTATTCCTGTGTCTTCAACACCTTATTATTATGTAGTGAAAGATGGTTAATCCCAGGTGAAGTTGCGCCGCCGAAGCATTCTTCCTCACTGGAATGACCATGCTTTTCAAATAACTCGCTGCGATGCCAATTGTTCTGAAAGCATGAGAATGCCCACGGGCATCTTCCGAACTACTGAGTACTCGTACGCACTTGTTTGTTGCTCTCGAGTTAACCTTGGACAAACCAAAGGAAGCCCCCTCTAGGATGGCATTCCAATTAATTTTATAATGAATGAAATGAGTGAAGCAGCTCGACAACCTTCCTGTCATGTGCGATGACGCATGGACTGCATCGGATCTGACCATGCTGACCATAAAAAAGAATAGGTGATCATCCACTCGAGTCCTCAACGAGCCATGCTAACCACAGAAATTCTTAAAGAAAGCTAGGGAAGCGAGAATACTAGCAAGCATTGGCATGTCGCTCCACAAAGGACGCGTTCTGAACATGGCATTCTCATAATATGACAGGGACACGACCAGTGGGAGTGGATGAACTCCAATTTGAGGAGAACAGACAGGTAACATGAACAGGGCAGGAAGGGTTCGGCCAGGACCTTCGCATCCCTTCTCTCTTCTTCCCTTTTTTCTTGTGGGTGTGACTTGTGAGAGTGGCTGTGAGGCCTCTGTTGATAAAGGGCACATCATCTCACAAAAGAAGGATATAACCAAAGTAGGACCGGTTTGAGCCAAAGGGGGGGAGGGGGAGGGGGAGGGGGACCCCAAGTTCTGACTTTGTGGCCATTTCACAAGCTTTTCTCAAAAGTGCACAACACCCCCCATATGGTGTTGGTCCTCATCAATTATGGGGGTTGTGGAAAGACAAGTGCCCCCCTCCCTGTTCAGGTACATCTACATGCATGGATCAATGAATGTAACTCAACACTCTTTAAACTCCCTTTTCACATGGGTTTCAATCCCCATCCTTCTTTTTCTTGGCGAGGGCTCACCGCATCCGAAGGTGCAGGGTTTCTCATGCATCGGAAATAGACAAGTTTTCTCATTTTCGAGGTTTCGTAAATTCGTCTCGAAGCTCCCGCTAAATCCCGTCCTAAATCGTTTTTATCGTATAATATATGATTTGTATTTACGGGTTATTTTATATGTAAACGAGATGTCTAAAAACCCGTATATACCTCTAGCGCAATCTTCTTTAACCGGATGACAAGGAGGTAATTCTTAGCGAGCTCTCCCAATTCTCGACGCGGACAACTCAACCCCGGAGATCTGAGATGGAGATCGTCACGAGCAATTTCACTTGAATATTAAGAGAAACAAGCTATACGTCGTAAAGCATTATTCCCAATCTTGCACGACAGCCTTAATCACCCGTGATCAGATTAGACGAGGGAATGTTCAATTAGATGATCAAAGATAAACCCTAGGAAGGCGAGCCATCGCAATCCGACCACGGCGCCACGTAAGCACGTCCTCCCACCCAGAGGCGGAGGATGATGATGTTCGCTTTCAGCAATTATAATAATCAAGATAATCAAGAAACAGTTGAGCCTGTTTAACGAATTTCCCCAAGCGCCGAACCCAGGAAAAAGAAAAGAAAAAAATATCAATTAAAAAAAAGTTGGGGGGGGGGGGGGGGAAAAGCAGTTAAAAAAAAGAAGAAAAAAATCGGTGGGGCTTTTGTAATCACATGTCACCGCTTTTTCCACTAATTAGTCCAAATTCCTCTTCTTCTTTTTTTTTTTATCGCTTTCACCACCTCTCGCCCTCCTCCCTCTCAGCCAGAAAGAGAAAGTCTCCAAAGCGCACGCATTTTTATTCTCTCTCTCGCTCTCTCTCTCTCTTCACTCTCTCTCTCTCTCTCTCTCTGCAACTGATGATCCGGATCCTAAAATCTCTCTCTCTCATCCCACATTTTCTCGCTCCGAATCTCTCCCCCCCTCTCTCTCTACTGCTCGAGCTCGCCCCCAGCTGCTTCTCGCTTCTCCATCGGCATCGAGAGACCCATTTCCGTCTCCGTCTCCGTCTCCGCCGATTCGTTGCTGCCTGCTCCCGCAATCCCCTCGGAGCTTCTTCCCACTCCTCCTCCTCCTCCGGAAGTTCGGGAAGAAGGGCGGCGTCGTCGTCCCCTTTGCGCCTCCTCCCCTCCAGTCCACGAGCTGCGGCGACGCTCCCGTTTGACTTCGATTTTGGCTTAACCCTCCCCCTCGGCGACCGGGCGGCGGCGGCGGCGGGAGCTCCGATTCGGCGGCGCGCTGCGGATTTCCGGAGCCCGGTTTTGACTTCATGAGGTCGGGGTTTGCACGCGGGGTTCGTCGGGGGCTGCTGCTGAGCGGGGGCGCGGCGGCGGCGGCGGCGAGGTAGAGGTAGGTTCCGCGGTTCGCGAGGTGGGTGGTTGGTTGGGGCGGGGGGGTGTTCCGCGGGATGTCGAGGATGGATAGGATGGCTTCCGATCTCAGCAGGGCCGGGCCGATCGAGAGGGATATCGAGCAGGTGATTTTTGTCTGCCGATTCGTTTCCTGCCGTGTTTGATTTTTTTCGAGCTGTGGAGCTGTGCGTGTTTGAGCTGTGTAGGCTGACTGTAATGTGTGAAGGCGTGGCGGCGCAAATTGTGTTTCCTGTGCTCTTACTTGGTGAGGCGCTGCGTTGCTTACTGTTTGCTGTAATGAATTGTTTGATTAGAATGACTAGTGCGACCGGTGGCCATTTTGTCGATTCTTGATGCGATGATTAAAATGCCAATGCCACAGATGGGAGTCTTTGTGTTTGCACGAGACCAAGGTGAAGATCTTTAAAAATAAGATCCGCACAGCTTTGTAATCGTGCGATAACGAACAGGTTTAGTTGAATGTTGGGAACTCTTGATTATCTATCATTTCACCTCCGAGGCAACCTTATCGTCCTTCTTAACTTATATTATGATGGACCGGATCATGCTGCTAAGCATTCCTTGGAAATGCGAGGTTAAGGATTTGAATTGTTGCAATGAACAACATTAGCTTCCTCAGATCAAGGCACTTAATTTCAGTCTTGAGATATCCTGTCTTTTCAACTGTTTCTCACTGTGGCCTTTCTTGGTAAATGAGCAGCTTTGGCATAGATGGGGGTGATGTTGTGGAGACTAAGCTGGTCCTTTTATTTGGGAGACATTCTATATGTTCTTTTACCTAGTGGAATCTTCAGTATCTGTTCTATATGTTCTTTTTTTTTTCTCTCTGTTTAAATCTGTTGATCGTCTTTAGCCTCGTTTGTTTTCTGGCACATATAGCAATACCTGTTTTTATAATCTCTTCATTTTATTAAATACAATCCTTGAGGAATGCACTAGTCAAATGCAAAAAATTCCCCTTACTTGCAAGCATATTATTCTTCCTGTAATCTACTTTGCCTATTAGTAGGTTGAAGTTTACATATTAGATGCATATCTAGATTATCCCCAATGGGGAAAATCAATGTCTTTCGGTGATTATTTTCTGTAACCGTATTGTCATTAGTTTCATGTCGTCAGATATCATAAAGTGGCAATTGTCTGTAGGCTTCTTGATGATGTATTCACATATATATTTTTTAACTCAATATTAAACAATCGTTGGCTCTCTGTATCCTGTTCACTTACCTTGAACTTATCTTTTTTCCTTCTCCCTGATTTGGATTTCCGTGTTGTGTGCTTGCTTTTGCCTGGTAATTTCATCCTGACCTGCAATTGTGCTGAATATACTTAAGTTAGGTTGTTGCTGTATCTTTATAATAGGCAATTACTGCATTGAAGAAAGGTTCTTCCTTGCTTAAGTATGGAAGGAGAGGAAAGCCCAAGTTCTGCCCCTTCCGACTCTCTAATGTAAGTCTCGTTTATAAAACATACAATGGCGCCCTTAGAGTGTATTGATGTGCTTAGTTGCATTGCTTTTACATCATTTGTCTTAGTGGCAGAGACCATGTGCTTCCGATTTGTGCTTGTGCTCCTTTTCTTTTCTTTTTTTGCGCTTTTTTCTTTTGGGTGGGGGCATCCCCACCGACGTGCCAAGAAATGAAATAAAAGGTTTAAAACGGCTGAGTGAGGGATAATTTCCAGATTTGAAGGGATAGGAGGATTCCTGTTCTCCATCCAACCAACCATGGCCATTTAGAATGAAGAGTTGGGTTGGGTGAGATGTTATTATCGAAGGTGTAGATAGATGGCTTTCCTGGGGGGAATCTTAGTGCGCTGTCCTACAATGTTAAATCCTTATGAGAGATCCATGGTATAGCCATTTCTTTTCGTAGGTGACAGCACATCTCATAAATGATAGTATAAGCATCTACATGCCAATCGTGCTTGTCTACTTGCTAAATTGCTTGTGCACTGTGAGTGTGGTCCTTGGTTTAGTGTAGTTTAAACTGAACCGATTTGTGAGGCTATCCTTTTAAGAAGTGGTTGTATTATATTGTTGCTTTCAGGACGAGTCTGTGTTGATATGGTTCTCTGGAAATGAGGAGAAACACCTAAAGTTAAGCCATGTCGACAGAATTATATCGGGCCAGCGGACTGTAAGTTTCTCATTCTGAGAAAAAGCAACCACTAGACTGTGATTTTGGGGACTAATATGGTGTTCCCCCTATGGTGGAATAGATAGTGATTCAAACGTTTCAAGTTCACAGTATATCTCCAGCTTAATATGTTTTTCTGCAAAACTGTGTTAAAAGTAATATCCACTTCAATGCAAAAGACTGATTCGTTTGACAAACCATTATCTGTTTACTCTCTTCATTAACTTATGAGTTACAATGCTTAAATTTAGAGTACCCCAGTTGCAATTGTTACCCACTTCAACTATTTGGTTTTTACTGCATTTAGCAATGTTAGATGCTCTTCACTCGAGTAAGGGATACATATGACAACATTGAATACATTGCAGTGGTAGACTGTGTGGATTCAAGATCCATCCAGGATTAAGGTTCAACATCCAATCAATGTTGTTTACATGGGCTGCAAATTTGTGGCCACTATTCTAAAGATCAGTGTTGGGCTTGACACCTTGGAGAGTCAATTAATGGGTCGATGATGCCAATGTGGCTTGTGCTTAGTTCTATTTAAATTGGAATCATATAATAGTGAGAAAAGATATTTTATGAGAGCCACCGAAATCCTCTAGGTAATGGTTAGGCGAGTTAGTTGAAAAAGAAGATTTTGGATTGGTGCTGAAAATTCAACACCTGGTATATATTTTGGTGAAATTCTGCATAATTATGGTGTATTGCTTATGACTAAACCGTATCCTAGAGAAGTATATCAACAAGAGATGGCAATTGATGTCACCTGCTGTTAATTGTGGGCCTTTGCATTGTAGCTTATATTGATTGACATGTTAAATGTTTCTCCTTCTGACTCGCTTAGCTAATTTGTGCTGAGCACATCTTTCTGATATTCATTAAAGGTAATTTTGCATGTCGTAAATCTTTAGCTCTCAAAATTCCTCTTCTTTGACCTGTCTTTGACTATTATTGCTGGTCACAATGCCATATTGTTGTCAGAACTTACATCGTTCAATTCGTTTCTTGAAACCTGTACCTTTAGGTTTCTTTTCTTCCTGTACATCAAAGATATCAATTTCTTTTTCTACAGCCAATCTTTCAAAGGTATCCTCGACCAGAGAAGGAGTCTCAGTCATTTTCGCTAATTTACAGTGACAGGTCATTGGATCTGGTAAGGGCTACCTCAAAAATGCATTCCTTCCATGTCATATCTTTCTGTTTTTAGCTGCATCTGTTTTTGGATATCTAAAAGAACCCCTTTATGTCATTTTTACAATAAGATTTGCAAGGATAAAGATGAAGCTGAGGCATGGATCAGTGGCTTGAAAGCATTAATTTCCCGATGCCGTCATAGGAAAGTTAGAACGGAATCAAGAAGTGATGGAATTCCATCTGAAGCAACTAGTCCTAGAACATACACAAGAAGTTCTCCTCTAAATTCTCCATTTGGGAGTAATGATAGCATGCAGAAGGTATATCTATGTAGCCGTATTGTGCACAATTCTTGTCTCATCTTAATTTGAAAGTTCCATATTAATAGACTTTCAATGATTCAGGATAGTGGTGATCACCTTCGACTCCAAAGTCCATTTGGAAGTCCTCCTAAGAATGGTCTGGATAAGGCATTTTCTGATGTGATACTGTATGCAGTTCCTCCCAAGAGTTTCTTTCCCTCAGATTCAGCGAGCGGTTCTGTTCATTCTTTGTCATCAGGGGGCTCAGATAGCATACATGGTCAGATGAGGCCACTGAATGCGGATGCTTTCAGAGTTAGTCTGTCAAGCGCTGTAAGTTCTTCGAGTCAAGGTTCTGGTCATGATGAAGGTGATGCTATGGGGGATGTTTTTATTTGGGGGGAAGGCACAGGTGATGGTGTTCTTGGTGGTGGGCTTCATAGATTGGGAAGTAATGTTGGAGTAAAAATGGATTCCTCACTTCCGAAAGCCTTAGAGTCTGCAGTAGTACTTGATGTTCAGAATATTGCTTGTGGTGGAAGACATGCTGCTTTAGTGACCAAGCAAGGAGAGATCTTTTCCTGGGGGGAGGAATGGGGAGGGAGACTTGGGCATGGCGTGGATTCTGATGTTTTGCATCCAAAGCTAATAGATGCTCTCAGCAATACAAATATTGAACTGGTAGCATGCGGTGAGTATCATACTTGCGCCGTGACTCTTTCTGGTGATCTATACACTTGGGGTGATGGAGCTTATAATTTTGGTCTTCTTGGGCATGGGAATGAAGTGAGCCACTGGGTACCAAAAAGAGTGAATGGACCCTTGGAAGGTATACATGTCTCATCCATCTCCTGTGGACTTTGGCACACTGCAGTTGTCACTTCTGCTGGCCAGTTATTTACTTTCGGTGATGGCACCTTCGGTGTTCTGGGCCATGGAGATCGAAAAAGTGTATCAATACCAAAGGAAGTGGAGTCCCTTAAAGGGCTTCGCACTGTTCGAGCTGCTTGTGGTGTTTGGCATACAGCTGCAGTAGTGGAAGTCATGGTTGGTAATTCCAGTTCCAGCAACTGCTCATTGGGAAAGCTGTTTACATGGGGAGATGGAGATAAAGGGCGACTTGGACATGGTGACAAGGAAGCGAAACTCGTGCCTACTTGTGTTGCTGCTCTTGTTGAACCCAACTTTTGTCGAGTTGCTTGTGGACATAGCCTAACTGTTGCACTCGCAACCTCAGGTCACGTCTACACCATGGGCAGTCCTGTTTATGGTCAGTTAGGAAATCCTCACACTGATGGAAAGCTCCCATCCCGTGTTGAAGGTAAGCTCTCCAAGAGTTTTGTCGAGGAGATAGCATGCGGCGCTTATCATGTTGCTGTGTTGACTTCAAGAACCGAAGTCTATACATGGGGTAAAGGAGCTAATGGTCGACTAGGCCATGGGGATACAGATGATAGAAATTCTCCAACATTAGTTGAGGCACTTAAAGACAAGCAAGTTAAAAGCATTGCTTGTGGGACTAATTTTACGGCTGCTATTTGCCTTCACAAATGGATCTCTGGCATTGACCAGTCTATGTGTTCAGGCTGTCGCCTGCCATTCAATTTCAAAAGGAAACGTCACAATTGCTATAACTGCGGACTTGTTTTCTGTCATTCATGTAGCAGTAAGAAGTCTATGAAGGCTTCTATGGCACCGAATCCTAACAAACCTTATCGTGTCTGTGATGGTTGTTATAGTAAACTAAGGAAGACTATTGAGTACGACGCTTCATCTCAGTCGTCTGTCAGTAGAAGAGGCGTTATAAGTCAGCAACCGAATGAGACAGCCGATAAAGATGAGAAGTTTGATTCCAAATCTCGCGCACAACTTGCTAGATTGTCCTCAATGGAGTACTTAAAGCCTGTTGAAAGCCGAACATCCAAGAGAAATAAAAGGCTAGAATTTAACAGTAGTCGTGTCTCGCCTGTGCCAAGCAATGGTTCCCAGTGGGGTGCACTTAATATCTCAAAATCATTTAATCCAGTATTTGGCTCGTCCAAGAAATTCTTCTCTGCTTCTGTTCCTGGATCAAGGATAGTATCTCGGGCAACCTCTCCAATTTCAAGACGACCCAGCCCACCTCGGTCTACGACACCAACCCCAACCCTTGCAGGACTTACCTCCCCAAAGATTGTTGTAGATGATACGAAAAGGACAAACGATAGTCTCAGCCAAGAGGTGGTTAAACTAAGAGCGCAGGTATACTGTCTAATTGTTTACTTTCAGATTTGTTGATATTTACTGTAAGTGAGGATTAATTGGAAAGGAAAATACTTTGCTTGATTTTGGGAGAGCTCAAACTTATGGTATATTTGGCCATTGATAGGTCTGTGTTGATTTCAGATTGCCATCCATTCTTAATTTTTGATACAGCTGCCTTTTGTTTTAAAATTTGTCTAAGTTGAACAAAAAAAGAAATCCATTTTATGCTCTCTACTTATTCCATAGTCTCAATTTTCTCAAGGGGTGATACATGTTGCTTGTGCCCGATGGATTCCACCATAATTTAATGGAACTATCTCAGTCCCTCCCTGAATGGGAATACTTTCATTCAAATAAGTTGAAATGTACAAACATAATCTCTCATGACTGCCTCAAGCCAGGTTCAAAAGGCAAAAACGCGAAATTGGTTTTACTTGAATGCTATTCAGGTGCTTTTCATTGAAGCCATGGCCACTGCAGTGCCTCAGAATTTCATAAAATCAGTGAGGATTCCTTTTGTTTGTCATTGTGGAAGAAACAAACTGTTATAAAGATATTGGACTTACTCCCAATACAGTAGGAATGAAGAAAAAGATTACACGAACACACGGTTCATTTACAGCATGCACATTTGCCATGTTTACTAGTCTAAATCTCCTCCACTATCTGGTTGTAATTATTGCAAATATCTGTATATAAATTAATAAGATGGGATTTTTTAGCTCGATGTGTTGTACATGAGCACTAGAATACTTTATTTGATCTTTGTTCCCCATTTCTCTTGGCATCAACAAATAACTGTTTAGAAACTTTCTAAAATGCAAATAGATGTTTTTGAAGGTACTTTGATCAAAATATTTGTCTTTTAATTTTATCAATGGTAGTATCAGACACCGATAGTGTGGTTTTTTGTCAAATGTTCCTAATGGTGCCAGATGGATATGGTAAACTGAAATGAAATCTTCGATGTGAAATATAAAAAACACAAATGCCAATTAGAAATCTAAATGAAAGTCTGGGCGACAAATGTACTTTAATCGCTCGGTAACTTCAGTTGTGCGCCAAATGTGGGAAATATAGCGACGTCTTCATTATATCCACTTGAGAGGCCACCACATATTTGGGAGAGATCTAAGGGATGAGATAAGTTAGTTTCTTTCTCAATGATGTGTCGGTGAATTCGACGGGTGCTTACTGTTAGTTATTTAGTTAGCGATGTGGATGCTAGAACCCATCTGATCCTCCAAAGAGATGGTGGTGGCTTCTCAAGAGGTTAAATTAATGAAGATCCTAATCTTTTTTGTTAGTCATTTTAAGGTGATGCTGCTGATGCCTAAATTATGATCCGTGAAGGGTAAGATTATCTGTATCATCTTCTTGCATTATGCTAAACCAAATTTTACCTTGTAGGTGGAAAATCTTACCCGCAAGACCCAACTCCAAGAGGTTGAGCTGGAAAGGACTACAAAACAGCTGAAGGAGGCAATAGACTTTGCTGCGGATGAGACTGCAAAATGCAAAGCGGCAAAAGAAGTGATCAAGTCACTTACTGCCCAAGTAAGTCAGCAGTTATTTGGGTGTAGTTGTCTATAAGATCAGAGCTATTGCTAGGATATTGATCTTGATAAGATACACTCTGGGTAATGATGGAGTTGAAGATATCAATCAGTATGTTGCTTTACTGACAAAGTCAGCTTAGCATCTGCATTGGTTGTTTAGAGTTGCTTTCCGTTTCTGTCTACATTCTCTATCCTAATTGAACGAGGTGTTCAATTTTATTACTTTTTTATGTTAGCTGCTTTAACAATATGATGGAGCAGTCTTCTGCCTTTTCGTGTAAGATGCCAACTTTTGACCATCGTAGTGATGTTTTTGACTGCTGTGTATATTCCGATAAGATGTCCGGTACTTGTCGGATGTTTCAAGTCATCATGCTGGAGATCTACTGAATCTTTCTGCTTTAGCTTTATAGCTGTCCAGTTTGCAAGGTGAAACAGTAGATTGAATGCACTTTCAAAGCATATTCTTTTGAATCTGCCAATTTATGAGCTTGGCTATTAGATGTTAGGATGGTACTTATTTACACGTATTCTCTCTTGGCCCTTTTTTTTGGCCAGCTCTTCTATCTGCTATATAAGTTCCAATGAGTAGCTTACAGTGACTAGTATTGCCTCAAACAGACTGCGGACATTTGGATAGAGTTTATGTGCATTGATCTTATTAGTAGTTGGTCATCCATTGCTCTTCAGTTGTGACCATGTGTTTTCACCCTTAGTGGAATTCTCTCTCAGGATTTTTTAATTTGGAGTTCCTTACTTGTTTTCGTTACTTTATACATTTTGAACAGTTAAAAGACATGGCTGAAAGGCTGCCAGTGGGACCTGCCCGAAATGTTAGATCCCCCAGTTCTACTCTGTTGGTCTCACCTCCCGCTTCTGATGACACTTGCCATACTTCTATGGACCGGTTGAATGGTCATATCACATCTCAAGAGCCAGATTTAAACATATCAAACACTAGTATCCTTCCTAATGGGTCAAGCACCACAAGTAATCACAGTTCAAGTCATAGCAGACAAGTGACTTCAGAAGCAGTTTGTAGAAACGGCATTAGAGGTAAAGAAAGTGAATCTCGTTCTGATAGCGACTGGGTTGAGCAAGATGAGCCTGGTGTCTATATTACCTTTACCTCCCTGCCAGGAGGTGCCAAAGATCTAAAGCGAGTTCGGTTCAGGTACATTTTTCATTTTATTTATGGAAGCAGTCTCCTATTCTGTGCATTCAGCATAGGAAAGTGCCATTGAGTCTGCGTATGTTTTAATTTGGGCATCCTAGTTGTGCAGTCAGCTTAAATCCGGTTTGGAGCTTTGTTCAGAACATAAGATAGTTCCTTGGTTCTTTTGGACGTCAAGTTCCTGCTCATAGAATGGAACCATCTTAAAGAAGGCATCTGTCTCCTTTTTTGACCTAGCGTTTATTCTCGTTTAAGAGTAGAGCCCGCTAGTTCTTTACCCCTGTTGTCTGCTCATTTTATTATAAATGAATTATCATCTTCTTTACACTCTGCCCTTCAGGATGTTCAAGGACTGAACTATTATATTTGTATGCAGTCGCAAGCGGTTTAGTGAGAAACAAGCGGAACAATGGTGGGCTGAGAACCGCGCAAGGGTATATGAACAGTACAATGTGCGCATGATCGACAAATCAAGCATTGGTGCTGGAAGTGAGGACTAGGCTCACTGAAACGGAGATATCCATTAGTCACGTGTACATGAGATGGTCTTTTCCCGGAGTTTAGCTGCATTTAGGTCATATTCATCGGCACGGATTGGCTCTCTTATTGTACATTGAGTGCCAATCATAACCGGGCGCATATAGAGGCGAGATTTAGAGGGGGGGTTTGGTTTGTGTTTTGGTTTTCCTTTGCTGATGCATCATTTGTCCTAGATTTCTTTACTTGGGTCACTGAGATATATTTTTTTCCCCTTATTAGTGTGAGTTGCCTTGGGGTCGAGGGTTGAGAATTGTAAATTCTTGGTAGTTGCTGGCTCTTATTGAAATGCAGCTACTTTGTATATTCATAAGGAAATATATCTGAAGAAATTGATGTTTCTTGGTTCATAAATTTAGTTCTGCCTCGCGTGTGCTTTGCTTATATCTTTGAACCCGACCGCCCAATTCCTGAGTGCTTGATGTTTTTAGAGTGGATCAGAGGTGTCTAAGGTTAGTCTAGAGGTGCCTAACAGGTCTTGTTCAGTTTTCTCCTACTCTATTTCATAAATTTGAAGCTTGAGAGTGCTGTCCGTTGGTCTCTTAATCTCATCTCTGCGGGAGGTATCTGTGTAATACCATTTATTGCATAGGGTTAATACTACACAAAACCTCAAACTAGAAAGCATATGATAAATTTATCCTAAATTAATTTTTTGGCTATCAAAAAATCCAAACTGGTACACTTATGATAAATTTATTCCAAATTAATTTTTTGTCCACCAAAAGTTTAAAAATTAGTCTATTTGTGACAAATTTACTCTCCGTTAGTTTTCGTTAAATTGGATTAATACCACTAAAAATCACAAACTAGTACTCTTGTGGCGGAGGGTAAAACTCCAAATTGATATATCCGTCAACTAACAGTGTCATTCAACTCAACAATTTGACAGTAAAATTTAATATAATCTAACGGATAATGTTTTGGATTTTTGGTGATCAAAAAATTAATTTGAGATAAATTTATCACGCATTTACTAATTTGAGATTTTTTGTGGTATTAATCGTATACCATAACAATTATTGGTTGGGGAAATTAGATGATGAATTCGAAGTAATCACTTTCGGTATTGGTGTGAAGTCAAACCTGAAGTCTAACTAATCACTCTCAACCTCTTCAGCTGGTCAATCTGTCCTAAGATTTTGTAACAAAAGAAGAACTATATAACAAAAGATGGTAACCAGAGGTGGGTGTCGGTCTGGGCACGAGAGACTCTGTTCTACTCTGAAGCCACCACTCCTCGTACCTCGCGATTTTTCATGCAAACCTCCGACGCTGTTCGCGTTCTCCGTATCCCCACTTTGGGATGGTGATCAGAAGATTATCGTCTCTCTTGAGAACATGCACTTCGTTGACTCGGGGCAAAGTCATTCATCAGAAGATCATATCTCTGGGCCTTCGTAACAACACCGCCCTGTGCAAGGACCTCGTGAGCTTCTACTTCTCCTGCCATTCGTGGCGCACTGCGAAGCTCCTGTTTCGAACCGCCGAGGTCTCGTCGGACGTCTCGGTCTGGAATTGCCTCATGGCTGCTTTCGCCAAGAACCGCATGTTCTTTGAAGCCCTCGAGCTTTTTGGAGAGTTGTTGGTCGACCCGTACGTGGAACCGGATGTTTATACGTACCCGAGTGTTTTGAAGGCGTGTGGCGGTCTGGGAAGAGCTGGTTACGGCGAGATGATTCATTGTGGATTGTTGAAGACGGGGTTTGTTTTGGATGTGGTCGTTGCGAGCTCTGCGGTGAGCATGTATGCGAAATGCAACATGTTTCGACAAGCGACCCGGCTGTTCGATGAAATGGCGGAGAGAGATGTGGCGTGTTGGAATGCGGTGATTTCTTGTTATTATCAAGATGGGCAAGCGGAGAAGGCTTTGGAATATTTCGAAAGAATGAAAGATGCTGGGTTTGAGCCTAATTCAGTGACTCTGACTACTGCAATCAGTTCATGTTCTCGGCTTATGGACCTAGAAAGAGGGAAGAAGATTCACGAGGAGTTGGTCAAAATTGGATTTAAACTCGACGGTTTTGTCTACTCTGCTCTTGTCGACATGTACGGCAAATGTGGATGCTTAGAGATTGCTAGAGAGATATTCAAACAAATTCCTGAGAAGAATGTGGTCGCCTGGAATGCAATGATCACGGGATTTAGTCTAAAGGGAGATAGTGGATCATGCATTGAACTCTTTAAAAGGATGAACGAAGGAGGAGTTAAAGCATCATTGACTACCTTAAGCAGTGTGCTTGCGGCTTGTTCAAGGTCAGCCCACCTGCTACATGGAAGGTTCGTGCATGGTTATATAATCAGAAGTGAAATTGAGGTTGATATCTTTGTCACCTGTTCACTAATCGATTTATATTTTAATTGTGGAAGGGTTACATTGGCAGAAAATGTATTTAGGGAAATGGAAAAGACAAATATTATCTCTTGGAATGTTATGATTTCAGGATATCTGAAGGTCGGCAATTACTTTGAGGCTCTTCGCATGTTTGATGAAATGAAAACAGCTTGTGTTGCACCAGATGCTATCACTTTCACTAGTGTTCTGTCGGTTTGTTCCCAGCTGGCAAGCTTGGAAAAAGGTAAGGAGATCCACAATTCTGTAGTGGAGAGTACGTTTAGCAAAAATGAAATAGTCATGGGAGCGCTTCTTGATATGTATGCTAAATGCGGTGCTGTGGATGAAGCGATTCAAGTTTTCAAGCAATTACCAAAAAGGGATCTGATGTCATGGACTTCTATGATCACTGCTTATGGGTCCCATGGTCAAGCTTTTGAAGCTCTGAATCTTTTTGCTAAAATGAGGCAATCCAACATTGAGCCAGATCAGGTTACTTTCCTTGCAGTATTATCAACTTGTAGCCATGCTGGACTGGTCGATCAAGGTTGTTACTATTTTGACAAGATGATCAATGTGCATTGTATCAAACCTGGCATTGAACATTATGCTTGTCTGATAGATCTCCTTGGACGTGCTGGAAGATTAAACGAGGCTTACAGATTTCTGCAAAGAGCCCCAGAAGTTTCTGGAAATCTTGAATTGTTAAGCACTCTATTCTCAGGATGCTGTTTGCACAAAGATCTAGAATTGGGAGAGGAAATTGCGAATGCTGTTGCTAAAACCAATCCAGATGAATCGTTTACTTATATTATGTTATCAAACTTATATGCTTCTGCCAAGAGATGGGATAAAGTACGCGAGGTGAGATTAAAAATGAAAGAACTGGGATTGAAGAAGAATCCTGGATGTAGCTGGATTGAGATTGACCAGAGGATTCAATCTTTCTTTGTAGAAGATAAGTCACTCCCGCTAGCTGAAAAGGTGTACGACTGTCTCATGCTTCTTAGTAGTCAAATGGAAAAGGATGAATTTGCTCCATCATATGATATTTCCATGCAGAATCTGTGAAGAATCTGACTTTTAATTGTGCATGTTAAGACTTACTGGGCAATAACTCCCATTCTTCCTGTTATCAAGGAGGGTATCCAAGTTTTTCGTCACAGTTTATAACAAACTGGGACAATTACATTAAGGAGATTGTCTTGGCAGTGCTGACAGTTTTTCTTCTGCTTACACTAATATCAGCCTTTCCAGAAGGACAATTAACAACGGCAGCATTTTGGATAAGTTATGCTGCAGCATAGGACAACCAAGGAATAAGATGCTTATATCATGAGAGGCTCACAAGTGGTTATTTTTTGGAGACTGTCGTGCCTAAATGCGAAAGCTTCTACCGCAAATCGCTCAGGGAGAATTAAGACTGCAAAGAAAAGGTGAGAAAACTTGAATAATATTTGCACAGCAGTAAGTTCATCTCAGAATGAGTTCTAACCATGTGGAATACACTGGTTGTCAACTGGATTTGATTTTGTGGGCGAGCTCTTTAGAACTGCTCTTGAAGATAAAATTAACTGGGTATTAGAAGAGAAAATAACATTCCAGAAAAAGCTTAAGAATATTTCAATAGCTCCTGCATCCTGTTCTAAGAAAAAATCATAATTTTCCTCCTTTCGCATCATTGTATTGTTTGGATCAATATAAAGGAAGGAGTATATTGTCGAAGAATTTCATTCTCTGTTCCAATGCTTTAAAATTTTTCTGCCTCTGAACTTGAAACAACAGTACAAAACAGCTTCTTAACCTGCTGCAGTCCTGACAAAATGTCACCTATCTTGGGGTTATTCTCGTCACCTTCAACATTTGAACTACTGTTAATGCACCATCTAGCAATTTCACCAAATTTTGCCAAAGCACTCATCTTGCTATTTTCAGGGGGAATACCCAATCTTCCGTCTAGGCAGTCCTGACAATCAACAAGCTCATCTATCTCTTCACGGCTCCTCAAATTTCTGTTCTCCAGAGGCTCCCCTCTTAGAAGCTCTAGCATCAATAGCACAAAACTCCGTGCGTCTTCTGTCATTACCATGAGTTCTTCATCATCACTTCCATCAAAATAATTAGCAGAACTGAAACCACCCAGCTTTGCATTGCAGAACTCATCAAGTAAAATGTTGTCAGACGTTATGTTGCCATGACTTACTCGTGGATTCATGTGCATGTGCAGCATTTGGATTGCCGAGGATATCTGCATTGCTATCATTAACCTCTTCTCCCAGTCTATTGTTTCTCCTTTCTCTCTCAAGTTATAGCTCAGACATCCCCTACTCATAAACTCAAAGACCATACATCGACTCTGAAATCTGTGCCTGCTATGTCCCATCAAGGAAATTATGTATGGATGAGAAGAAGTTTTGAGCAATATTTCTTCTTCTAGTTCTGAATAACAGGCCAAGTTCTTGAAAACTTTAATCGCCAAGAGACATCCATCCATGAGAACTGCTTTATACACTACTGCCGAAGGCCCCTCACCAATCCAATTTTCCTTCCTAATAAACCTGTTTGCATTAAGTAGGAGGCCCTCATTAGCATGCTTTTGTTTTCTTGTATGCAGGAAAAGAGCAATGATGGCAACGGACAAGCTTAATGCTAGTGCCGCCAAGATAAGCACAATGACAAACACCAGTGGGCGTTTTCCAGGCTCAGCTGGCGAGGAGATATAATATTCTGCTGACCAACCTTCCCCTCCCTCCGTCTGAGTGGTGAATGCTATTATGACCTCACCAATCAAGTTTATATGTGGGAGATCAGCAACAGGATAAAATCCTGAGAAGTTGGCACTCTGATGAGTGGAGTCATTGTAAATGGCAACGAAATCCAAATCTCGAGTGATATTAATGTGTGTGAAGTTCAAGGAAACTCGAGTTCCTGGTTTTCCATGGAGGACCCATCTGCACTTGATGCCTTGTACATAGGATGAAGTTCCAACCAAACCATATCCTATGATTCCAGAACTGTTGTCAACATCTTCCTTCCCAGTGCAAAGTCCTGAACAATTTGGACATTTCAGGTACATTTTCCAGGGAGGAAGTATATGAAATCAGAATAAAAGAGGGTGAATTGGATCTGCTTTACCTGCCATATAACTGAGCTCCCACCCTCTTGAATTGAAGGAGACATAATCACCACTCATAAATTGGATATAAGCTTTTGGGCCCATCAACTGGAAATTCTTGAGTGAATTTGTAGTTTGCGAGTTAACTACTCTACATGGCATCTTGCTGGAATCTGGTGGGCAAACTCTGAGATTATCATCACTATCTGCTGCGACTGCAAAATATTCAAAATTGAAACTTATGAACTTTGCATTGGGCCACCAAATTTCCCAAAGACACTTCTGATTGGGCATGTATGGCTGCAAACCATCACTGTGATTAACAGCAATTCCTGTACTCAAGTACCCTTTAGACTGTTTCAAGATGACTGTATCAACTCTGCAGGCTTCTGCATTAGGAAAATTTCGTGTTAGAAGTTCCCTATAAAGTCGAAGAGGTGGAAGTTGCTTACCAAGATCGGAATAATATCCCCGTGGTTTCTCAGACCTCATGGAAGGAAAAAATAAATGTATCACCTATGATAGTGGGATTGAATCCCAATTCCCACCTAATCAGGAATGTCCCAGGAGTATGGAGAACTAACTGTTCCATTACGGGGGATTACAAAAATCTGTCTTTTCTTGGCTGTATGACTTGTTCTCCTACCTTCTAAGCTTTTCTCTTACAGGAAAAAAGAGGCAACGCGAAGAGGAGAAGAAGAGACCTAAAACGTTTCTTAGTATGGATCAGTTCATACCTGCTAGAAGTTATTTCTTTTGAGTGTTTGTTAAGGATGAAATCTTTCGCATACGAGTTAGAGATAATGATCCCCAATGTCATTCTATGTTTACGTCTACTTTGCCCCATCGACAGTTCTACACTTTATTATTTGCATTACCTGTGGGTTTCAGTGCACAATTCCTGATGTTCTGGTCCCAAAGATACTGAAGAAGATATCTTTGGTCATTTAGACCAATCGCATTAAAACTGACATTTCTCTCTGCATCAATATATAAAGGAGGATGACTCTGTCTTCCCTCATATTGAGAAGTGCACAGACTGCTAATCGTCTTCGTGTTCCCATTCCCACCACTGCTTATCCATCCTCTCCCATCTCCATTAGTAACTTGATCTGCTATTCTTGCCAGCATGTATCCGACCATGCTGTCCACCTTCTCATTTCCGTTTGGTGGGCCTCGGTAGGAGGAACTTCCTTTTAGGAGGTCTGAGCACTGGTCGACTTCTCGGACTGGGGCCCTAGCCCAGGCAATAGTAATCACCTCTGTTGCAGAGATGTTGACCGGTAAATGGCCGCTGCACGGATCAATGAAATCTTCCAGATCATTTCCCTCAACGAAGATCACATGATCAGAGAAGAGTGCAAGGTAAACGCTGTTCTCACTTGCTTCAAAGGCATGAGTGCAACTCAAACTCCCGTTAGACCCATCAATGGCAGTGCCATCAAAAACTGTCCTTCCGATCTCGATCACCCGTTCTCGTGTCATGTTCTGATAAAAGCCCGTGTAAGAGCATTCAGGGCCCACACTCAAAGAGTCCGTGACCGGAGAGTTGGACTTGTCTCTGTACTGCCTGACTATATCCCACCAGTTTCCTAGTGTTGGCACTTCATACTTCTGAACTGGCGAGTATTTGGAGGAAGTCAAAGAATTAATGGCATTTCTTATGATTGCTTTATCAGATTCTTGCCATTGAGGACCAAACCACAGAAGAGAAACAGTGACTGGTTGTGTCATGATCTTGCCTCCACTATAAGAGAGGCCATAGGAGCTATCATCTTGAGATAGACAAGAAAACTCGGGAAGAAGATAGAAAAGTAGGGCAACCATGAAAATGCCCGCCATTTGTTTGGCTATGTGATTACAGTAGCAGTTAACAGAGTTTGAGAAGATGATTGTGTCGGAAACCATGTTAGTGTTCTTAGTTTTGAACTAAATGGCGCAGCGGCCATCCAGTTGCTGAAGTTAAAAACAGGAGAAATACAACAGTAATAGTGAACAGAGCAACCCAGTGGCCGGCCTGCAAATAAAATACAAGGTTTATGACAGAAACATGCTTCATAAAATAATTGGCAATGCTCACTGGGTCTCAAAAGTTGACAAGAAACAGAGACAAAACCACACTTCTTATGACAACCCTGTTTTGCTGAAGTCTGTGAAGAAACTTCCAGCACATCACTCTCCTTTGTTTCCCTAGAAAAGTAGGAAAAAATCCCGAAGAATAAACTTCGTAGTTTGTAGGCGGTGACACGCATGCAGTCCAAGGTAAGACGTAAGAGTGAGAGTGTTTTATCTGCCTATTGAGCTGCAAGAAACCTAGATGCAATTTTGAGCCGTCCATGCATAATGCGAAGAACTGCCACGACTGGTACAGAAATCATATGATTAGCTCATGCAAAATTTTAAATAGCGAGTTGAGATGTTAAAGTCTTCAGTCAAGCACAAAAACTGTAATCTTATAGTCAAGTGGATTTGATTATGAAAGGGGACAATAAAAATCCATGACAAAACAGAACGAATTGAACTAGTCTAGTGATAGAAGGCGGTTAATATATTCGAGGTGAATAGAATCATTCAGACAGTATCAAGTCCTTTAGGCTTTGTGATGATACATCAGCAGTACCTGTCACCGTTACCTACCGAATGAGGTCATTTCGAGATATTCAACTGGCACAAAATTGCCGTGGCCAAAATTAAAAAATTTGCACACAGCCCATGAAAAAAAAAAGGAATGGGAAAAGGATTGGAAAAGGTCATAAAACCAGTGTGCTATTCCTCCTCGAGATCTTTCTCTTTGGTAAATACCATAAAGTAGTTCAAAGATAGGCTTTCCCAGATAGGCTTTCCCAGAAGACACTAAATACGTGAACCAAAGAAAAACACATAATAAAGGAAGACACCATTGCAGCAATATTGCAGTGCATGAAATTCGGCATATTAGACTAGAAAATCATAGTAGTGCTTACAAGAGTCCAGTACAGTGCTGCTTCGTGCAATAAACAAGCAGATGCTGCCAAATAACAAAATAAAATTCAAAAGTCAGTCTCTTGCTTGAGGACAAATTCCACATCCTCAAATTGCCATGCATATTCACAAGATGTTGGAGTGTCCCAGAGCATTGGTGAACACGGAGGAGAACTCCATTGTGTTGAATATTCAAAGCAATCAGAAAACTCATCCATGGGAAGTTCAGATGGCTCAGGGTAGCAGCGAGGGCTATCATAATCAGCCTGACACGAGAAACACATATAAACAGAAGAAAAATCAATAAGCAACCAAGAGTGATAGTTAGAAATAACATTGATGGGTTCAATGTAGAGGAAAAAAATTTTGGTGGGAAACAATGAATTCGATAAAATGAACTAGTACATAGGGTATGCTGCTAACAGTCAATAGAATAATGTGTGCTTTGCAATGGCCAAAAAGAAAGAAAAAATGCCTTATTTGCTGATGCAATACCTCAGCCTTTGCCTGTTCAGATTCTGAACGTTCTGCAGTAGACACAGAATCTGGTAAAGAAACTAATATCATTTCTTGTTCCTTGAATAATCATTCAAGAAGAAAGATGACATGACCTAAAATATGCAAAATCAGATTAAATAGTCGAGATCATTGAATGAAGATAGGGTGTTATCAGTCTTTACCTCTTCATAATTTTCACATAAAAAATGCCAATTTGTCCCAACTCTTCCATATCCTTCTAAATGGGTTATCTAGGTTCATTCTTGGACTAAAGAGGCTTCTGCTCTATTCAGTTCAGTTTCTCATTTTTCTGCTTGATTGCGGCAACAGGATAATGAAATCTCTTTTAAACATAAAAATAGCATGAGAAAAAATGTGCTTCATACCAATCATAATTCCTGTCATAATTAAAGTACAGTTTCTTGCAGACGATAGCACAAACCAATCTAATCTGAATCTATAATCTTCTAAGTAATCGTTAACTTAGCCAAAAGTGTAGCTGCACTATATTCCCAAGGGATTACAAGAAGCACTGTACAAAGAGATTATCCAGTATATTGACTGGTAAGCGTAAACACCAATATACCTAAATCTAAGATGTAAGACCTTGGCTTGCTCAGCGCTACATGACATACCATATCAGCAGGGATGTCAACTTCCAATCTGATATATATTTTTGTTAAAAGAATTGATTACCATGACCAGGAAGAACCAAGTTCAAGTCAAAATTGTTGAAGGCCGCTCGTTGTGCCTCAATGCACTTTTGGTGGTCGTGCAAAAACATCTCCTCAGCTACATTAAATTCTTCCTTCTGTGGATCCTTTTTCTTTATTGATGCTTCAGGATGAAGGGACGATTTGTTTGTAATGTCCTGAAGTGCTTTACGACTTCCCAAACCCCCTTCACCTTTCTTCGCAACAGTCTTAGAACTCCTAGTTGCTCCATCACCAGTACCCTCTAAATAGAAATTGGGCAAGTAATTTAGTGATCTCCAAACTACTAAGACAACTGACCAAATACATAGTTCCAACATAAGGTTATGAAAGACACTACTTGCACCTTGTGATGCAAGAGTGTGTGCTTAATGAGACATTGGATGGGATTACCTATCAGATTGCAGCATTTATTCCAAAGGTAATTGTTATTCACAATTGAAATATACGGCTCAGATAGAAAGAGGAAATAGTACTTTTGCGATGAGCAACTTGATTCTCATCCTGAACAAACAGCAGCCCCTGAGTGACCCGACTTGCCATCACTGTATTCAGCTCACAGGAGCAAAGCTTGAGGGTGTACAGCTGCGCAGCCCTATAGCCAGACAACATTATAAGATCTCAAAAAATTTGATGATCCATCTGAGGCTAAATTTAAAATAAGTCCTTGATCAATTGCATTTGACACATGGACGTGAAAAAAAGGGCAAAACTAAATTTCCAAAAAGTATTCCTATGTTCGATTTGTCTGCTAAGGGAATATGTTGCCATCTACTTATTGGAACAGGGACATCCACTGCGGATTGTATAGAGAACATGCTGTGCTGCGCAACATGAACAATTTCCTAGTCTGAAAGCACGCTGATTATTTAAAAATAATTATCTAGGAAATAGAAAGTATTGCTCCCCACTAAAGCCCAAGTTGTGCACCCAAAGGAAATTGTTTGGTGCACAGTCCTGTGATCCCGGACAACATGGAAAACCCTGACATATGTATGACGTCTATCATGACCGAGATATCAGAATCACATCTAGTATTTCACCAGCTATGTAACATGAACATTAAAAGCAGAACAACTCAGTGGCCCTTAAGCCAGAGTTGCATTAGCAGCAGGCTAGATAACAAAGAGAACACTGAAAGACGCCAAGCGATAATAAAAGACGCCAGATATGTCACAAGCGCATCATCTTCAGAAAGTATGCAGCACCCATTATAAAGACTGCGGAAGCTCTTATATGCAGATACTGTTTTAAGCTAACCCAAATCCAGGACCTGATATGCTGGTCCAACCCACAAGAGCTCAAACGCTGAGACAACTGACCGATCAAGGGTCTGAATGACCAAGGTGGCAAGCGAGCACCGAGAGAAACCTTAAAAGGGGAGTGGAGCTGGCTTCTGATATGAGAGTGAGTAAGGAAGGGCCAAGACGGATCAGAGTTTCGAGGTTTAAGGTAAACCAGGGCCCCCCCCCACCAACGAGGAAGGGAAGGAAGGTTGGGACTCCATTTTCTAAATGCCATCACACCCCCCATGAGTAAGATGATCCTACCGGCAATATCAAACAAGTTCTGCTAGAGGAGAATCATCAGGATCTGGAAGACATGCCTAGATGGCATTCTGCATTGAAAATCCCTGCTCCATATCTTTCCTTCTCTTTCTAGAAAAAAAAAAAAGACAGGCAAAAAAACCAAGCATTTCTAACAACTGAACAATGCGCGTGCTAACATCTCCGTTTCTATCACCAAGCGGCGAGTACCCATCAAAGAATTTGTCCATTCTTGACAATTGATGACGACCCTCGAGGCCAATGTTTGCCGCGTGGTTTTTCCCACGTCCCCAAGGAAAAGAAGAAAAACCCCTTTCACTGCCCGACCCAGAACAGCCAGACTCCCTAAAATCGCACAGGAAATCGGGAACGAGAGACGGAGAGAGAAACACATGAACCAAGAACGAGAGGGACGAATCTGGAGAGAGAGCGAGCGCGATTCGAAATCGATTTCGGCGGTCCGGGAAGAGAGCCGCGACACATGCATCGGAGGAACGCGAATCGTCGTCACCTCACCTGCTCCTGTAGTTTGCGCTGTAGATTGGGGGGGCAATGGCGCGGAGACTCTGCGACGGATCCGAACCCCCTCCTCCCGATTGAAAGACGCGAGACTGGTTTGTTTGAGGATGAGAGTGGGCTGCTTCCGGCGACTTGGGCGGGAAAGCGCACTTCCCATGGCATTATTGTGATTTTCCAAAGTTGTCGAGGAGAAAAGTACCAAAAACAAAAAAAAAATTAAACCTTCAGCGTTGATACCAATTCAATTTAAACCTTTCAATCGAACCAATTCAATCCTAAACCTTTCATTATATATCGATTTTCTCTATTTTCAAATTTTTTTTGACCTACTAATCTTTTTGCTAACTATGAATCTTGCAATGGACGTATTTTAAAATTTTTATGTATTTGAAACTTTCGTAGTACATAAAAAGTTAGAAACATAAATTTATATATTTAATTCTTCGTACTTTAATAATTTTTTAAAAATTTCAGCACAAAAGTAAGAATAATACTTTTTTAATTTTCAAAAAGTCTAGACAAACGTTCCCGCACGAGTAAAAAATTTTCATAAGCTTAAATTATAGCATGAGAATACAAATCGCGGTGCCTGTGATAAATGAAGTTCACGTATGTCCCATTTTGATCATCACGGCTTCGCTAACTATGTTTCAGAAATAAGGGAAATTGAGAGAAATAAAAATTTAGATGGTAAAAAGGAAAAAAAAATCAAATTATCGAAATAAAGGGAGAGGCAAGGAAATTTAAATTTCAAGCGATTTACTCAAGGCCGACTCTTTGATTACATGAACATGCTCAAATCTTATTAATTTTGAAGAAAAGCAGATTCGGTAATTGTACTAGGATCGGATCTGAGTATACTTAGTTTGAAGGACTCCGAAACTTACAAGCCTAATTCAAATGGTCAACGTCGATTCGAGTGACATCAGCGTTCATATTTCAAGTCGGGACTCGAGAATTGAGTTTGAATTATTTGATTCAAACGGCTTACGAGCCTAATAAAATAGCTAAATTATATAAATTCAGTAAAAACAGGAAGAAATTTTGAAGATTATAGTATCCCTGGTTTCTTTGTTTTACTATGATAGCTTAGTCCTCAAGGTTTACGTTAGTGTCTCTTTTTTTTTTATATTTCTATAATTAAGTCAAAGCAAATCGTTGACCGAGTGACGTCGAAGCGGGACTCCATATTTTCTCAGCTTGAAGAATCATCATCGGTCGTCGCGTCGTCCACCGGAAGACAGAACCAGACCACCCGATGACGCTCCACCTCGATCTCTTCACCCTCTCTCTCTCCTCCATCCCCTTCCTCCTCTTCTTCTTCCTCCGCCTCCTCCGCCGGCGCTCCGCCTCCCGCCGCCGCCCCTCTCCCGGTGGTCCCGCCGAAACCCCATGCCCGGAGTCCCACCCCATCGTCGGCAACCTCGTCGGCTTCCTCCGCAACCGCCACCGCTTCCACGACTGGGTCGCCGACATGCTGTCGCGGACCCCGTCGTCGACCCTCCGGGTCAACAGCTTCCTCGGCCTCTCCCGCGGGGTCTGCACCTCCAACCCCCTCAACCTCCAGCACCTCCTCTCCTCCAGCTTCCCCAACTACGTCAAGGGCTCCCGCTACCACGCCGTCCTCCGCGAGCTCCTCGGCGACGGCATCTTCGCCGTCGACGGCCACCTCTGGTCCCTCCAGCGCAAGATCGCCAGCCACGAGTTCACCACCAGGTCGCTCAAGCACTTCATCTCGGAGACCGTCGGCCGCGAGATCTCCGACCGCCTCCTCCCCTTCCTCTCCAGGGCCTGCGACGAGGGCAGAGTCGTCGACCTCCAGGAGGCGTTGCAGAGATTCGCCTTCGACAACATCTGCAGCGTCGCGTTCGGTGTCGATCCTAACTGTTTCGCCGCGGAGGAAGCATCGGAGGAGATCTCCGGCCGCAATTCGAATTTCGTCAAGGCCTTCGACGAGGCGGTCGAGAACTGCTCGTCGCGGTTCATGTCGCCCTTGCCTGCCCTGTGGAAATTGAAGCGATTCTTCAATCTCGGGTCGGAGAAACGATTCAGATCGAACATAAGAGTGATCAACGAGTTCGCCATGGACATCATCAAATCGAAAGAGGAACAAATCGAATCGGCGGCGACCGGACGAGAGAACGGCGACGAGAGGAGCCGCGATCGAGATCTGCTGTCGAGGTTCATGTCATCGAGCGCCGATCTGGAGTTCCGAAACCTGGAGGAGAAGAGGAAGTTCCTGCGAGACATCGTCATAAGCTTCGTTCTCGCGGGCAAGGACTCGACGTCGACGGCGTTGACCTGGTTCTTCTGGCTGATCGCCGCGCACCCGTTGTGCGAGCGCAAAATCCTCAAAGAACTATCGGCGGCGACGGCGGCGTCGACCACGTCGGGGGTGAAGATCTTCAGCTACGACGAGCTGAAGAGCCTCCACTACCTGCACGCGGCTGTGACTGAGTCCATGCGGCTGTTCCCGCCGGTGCCGATCAACTCGAGGTTGACGGTGGACGACGACGTGCTGCCCGACGGGACCCACGTGGGGAAGGGGTGGTTCGCCGACTACTCGGCCTACGCGATGGGGAGGAGCGAGGAGGTGTGGGGCCCGGAGTGCAGGGAGTTCAAGCCCGGGAGGTGGTTGGAGGGCGATGGCGGCGGCGACGGCCACGACGGCGATCGTCAAGACGGGCGCTTTAGGCCGGCCGACCAGTGGAAGTACCCGGTGTTCCACTGTGGGCCCCGAATGTGCCTGGGGAAGGAGATGGCGTACGTGCAGATGAAGTCCGTGGCAGCCGCCGTGATGGCGGAGTTCGAGGTTTTACCGGCGGCGGACGGAGGCGAGAGAGGGAGGAGGAGGATGGTGGACCCGCAGTACACGCTGTCGTTGGTCCTCAAGCTGAGGGGAGGATTGCCCGTTCGGCTGAGGAGGAGGAGAGATTAATTAGAAGGAAGACATTCCACGAAGACTACGAGACATTCTATGATCACTTTCAATCATCTGTATATGTATAGATCTTAGTTTTTGTACCATATTTAGATTATTAGTTTCAACCGTGTATAGGCTCTATATGTATCAAATTTATGTAGTTGTTTCTATTTTCTACATTTTTGTATTTTCTTTTATATATATATATGCTATTGGTTATCGGTTAAATGAACAAGGCGGCCATAAGCGGAAAAACACTCGTGAACACTTCTTTATTGCGGACTAGATGTATCTCCATTAGTCATTAACGTCGCGTGATTTCACAGCACTTAATAATTGCGATCATGTGATTTGTGAGGGAACGGATTCACGGGAGAATTCTATCATTAGGTGCCTACATTTGTTGGAAACATTACGACAACAATGCTTATCAATCGATGCCCAAGCGGACGAAGGCTAAAGATCGATGTCATTTTTTGTTCCTCACGTGGATTTCTCGAAAGTACTCTGCGGTTTGAAACTTCGACGGGCAAGAATGAAAGGCACGTGAAAGACGGAGGTTTTGTTTTTATACAAAAAGAGTAGCATCGATTCTCACTCAAAGGATAATTTCAACTCCAATTTTCTAGTATCGCATAAAAAGACATCTAACTCTCGCCCGAGAGACAATTTTGGCTCAACTAAATTTTCCCTCGGCTTAAAATTCACAAGAGAGTGGTTTAGGGGAAAAGTATCCAAAAAGTCATTAAACTATTGCATTGGTATAAATTCAGTCAATTCGATCAATTTAGGTCGAAAAATCGTTAATGTAGACATCGACCGTCCTATGCGGCATGGTCGGCGCTGATATTGATATTTTTAGAATAATATTTAAATATTTTATAATTTTTTCTTCTTTCATTATTATTATTATTTTCTTTTTTCTTTCCTTTTTTGCTTCGTTTGGGCAGGTGAGGGCCAGCAAGCCCTTGCCGCCCGCTAGCGAGGGTCGTAGATTTGGGTGAGGGCCTTCGCGGCGTCGCTCGCAGCTAACGAGGCCCTTCACGTCCACGATTGGGGGGAGGGCTTCCTGGCCCTCATCGGCCAAAATGAAGAGAAAAAAAAGAAAGAAAAATAGAAAAACAAAAGAAAAGAACCAAAAAATTAAAAAAATTTGTACATCAGCGTCGATCGATCGTGCCACGTAGGACGGCTGGCGATTCCGAATGGATTAAGTTTAATACCAATATGAAAAATATTTGGAACTAAATTGGCCCAATAAAAAGGTTGAAGACCAAATTGATACAAATGCAATAGGTTCCGGACTTTTTTTTTTTCTTTTTTTTTTGTACTTTTCTGTGGTTAACATACGTACAGAGACTATAATTAATGCGGTTACGCACGTCAAGATAAGCACCAACGGCGACATAGAGAAAAAAGAAAAAGAGAGCATTCAAAAAGGAACCTTCTAACCAATATCGTAAGGGAAAGAGCATATTCCTCCACACCAATCTACATCCCCTTCACTATTTTATAACTTTAGAACAGAAAGCACTTCCCCAGGACTTACAACGACGACGGACCCACCATCTTCGTGCAGGGGGGAACAGGAGGAGGAGCCTTACGAGGTTTCAAAGAACAGTTTTAAGAATGGAAGGGAATGATTGAACCTGGTTGACTAAGTCAAACGGAGGAGAATGATTGAGTGTGAATCGTCCGCCCGACCTAATCCGAGCAGTGCGGGATCCTCAACTCGTACCTCTTCTTCCTGCTGCTCCTCATCATCTCCGCCGCGGCTTCGTCGCAGGCCTTCCCTCTCCCGTCGTCGCCGCCGCCGTCTCCGCCGAAGGCCCCGATCAACAGCTCGGCGTCCCTCTCCATCGGGACCTCCCGGTCGTCGTCCGCCCTCCGAGCCGCGGCGATCTTCACCCGCTTCATGCGCCGACCGCTCGCAGGCAGGTCCAGGACCGGCGCGTACCACACGCTCACCCGGAGCGGGCCGCTCAGGCTCCTCAGCCTCTGCGACCTCAGTTCCTCCGCGGAACCCCTCTTCGTGGCGGCGGACGAGCTTTCATTGAAGCTCGCGAGCTCCTCCTCTCCCATGCACAGCTTCCCCCTCCCGGCGTCGTCCGAGACCACCACGCTCCGGAGGCTCCCGTGGTCGCGGGGGACGAAGTAGACGAGCCTGAACGACGCGTTCACGAGCGAGCACTTCGTCGTCTCGAGGATCGATTTCAGGTCGGACTCGCTCATCCTCTCCCTGACGCGGCCGACGACGCCACTGGAGGCGCCGGCTGCGGTGCTGCAAATCGACGCCGCGGAGAGGACGACGCAGGTCTCGAGCCGCGATCCGAAAACGGCTCTCCACCAGGTCAGGGAGTTGCGGACCGCGTCGTCGCCGCGCGACCTCGCGGAGCTCCGGAGCTCGACGCGAAGAGCTCGGAGCTCGCGAAACCGGTACTTGAGGCGAGAGAGCTCGGCGTAAGGAGCGACGCGGCTGCTGGAGCAGCAGACCGAAGCCGACGACCTCGGCCCGATCAGCTTGATGCGGAAGCTTTTGAAGAACCTCTTCAGAGCACGAACGGAGCTCCCTCGAGCGGAGCCACCGCCACCGCCGCGGTCGGAGTAGTCGACGGGGAGGGAGAGGGTGTGGATCTGGGGGACGACGAGGCGGAAGCGCCTGCAGACGGAGGAGCAGAGGACGAGGGTGTTGAGGTCAGCGATCTTGGAGAAGATGAGCAGGAGGAGGGCGTCGGGGAGCGAATCGAAGCGGCTCTCGCCGGGGCCGACGCGGCCTCGGGGAGGATTCGCGCACGGCTTTTGAATCATGGAGACGACGGAGGAGAAGGAGGAGATGAGAGTTTGAATAGAAATGGCGGTGGCGTGGCGTGTGTGGGGAGGGTGTTGAACGGAGGTATATATATATACGGTGATGGGGTTCACGCGACACACGTGAGAGGCTGCTACGTAGAAGATAAGGTACGTAGAATTATCATGTCTGTACTAGTAGATTATAGTTTTTTTTTTTTTGTGATGGTAAAATTTAAAAAACCAAGGTTAATATCACCAAAAACCCTAAATTGGTACATATGCGATAAATTTACCTCTAACTAATTTTTTGACCGTAAAAAATCCAAAACTAGTACAATTGTCACAAATTTAATCTCCGTTAAATTATATCAATATCACAAAAAGCCATAAACTGGTACACATGTGATAGAGGAGGGTAAAATCCCAAACTGGCGTAATCATTAATTACCAAGTGTCATGCAACTTATAAATTTGACGATAAAATTTAATGGAAGCTAACGGAGGGTAAATTTGTCATGGGTGTACCGGTTTGGAGCTTTCGGTGGTCAAAAAATTAATTTGTAATAAATTTATCACAAATGTATCAGTTTTGGATTTTTCATGGTATTAATCCTAAAAATTATGGTTAAAACCTAAAGGATAGATGACCTTTTTTTTTCCTCCAGGTAATTTGTTGGTAAAACTCGCCAACCTTTTCATGAAATTACCGACTTTCCTTTTTACGGTTTGCAGTTAGCGGTTCTTTTACCACTAACTCCCCAACATTTTTATTTGCATAGCATTCGAATTCGCAACTTTAATATGACATTACCATCCTAAGTGATTTGCCGACTTTTCTCGGTTAAATTACCGACCGGTTTTGAGATCGCAACTCTAAATCGAGTTAAAAGCCGAGGTTTGATTATTATTTTTTTAAAACAAAATTTAGCAATTTGAGTCACTGGGTTTCCCATTAACTTGTGAGAAAGTTGGAGACGACAACGGCAGTGATTAAATACAAATGATTGTGGGGTCCTTCCCAATTAATGATTTTTGCTGCCTAACTAAAAATTAATGAAGTCAAGTCAAGCATACGGGTGATTGCTCCGAGGTGCGAGGGGGGGGGGGACCAGTGACTCTGCGTTCGGCACGTACTCGGAAATATCGAGATCAAGAAGAAAAGAGACAAAGACACGACGTGCATGCGTATGTCGGATTTCGTACGATCTGACCGATTATTTTCAAAAGGCTAGGGGGAACCTACCTCGAGTCATTTGACTTTGGATCGCATCTGTTGTCCGGTCCGAAGGCCTTTTTATCGTTTCGTAAGAATCTCGAAGCTTTATATTTAGATAAAAATAATTGAAGAAAATGGCATAAATAATCATTTAATTTTATCCAATATGCAATGAGGTGTATAAACTTATAATTTGCTCAATATAATCCTTGAACTTTAATTTGATGTACAATGTGGTCCCTGAATTTTTAATTTAAGATAAACTTCTATTAATTTAAGTTCAGGACCACATTGAACATTTTCATGTAGTTCATGAATTATATTAAACATGAACCACATTGAATAAATTAATAGTTCAAGGGGCAATATTGAATATTAGGCTGAAGTTCAGGGACTACATTGAACAGATTAAAAAGTTTATGAACCAAATTACACATTGAGTCAAAGATCAATAACTGTTTGTGTCACTATCCCGAAAGAATACCCATTGTTAGATCATTTTGCATTTTCTTACGTGATAAGTAAGTTCTCATCCAGAAAAGCTATTACTACGAGGTATATGTACGTGTATATATATGACTTTTGATATTCGAACCTATAGCTCAAATGGGAAAATCGCTATTTAGTAATAAGTGCATATCCACTATTCTTATATGAAAATTTGCTAACGATAGTGAAAGAGAAAACTTACTAATATTTACTTTTCTGTATATTGAAAAGGTGCCAGCACATGAAAAAGTACCTGATTTTTTTATGGCTTGAAGGTTAATTTTCCTCATCAAAACTTACAAAAGCAAGGAATGTGATGACATGGTAAGTAACTTATGTAAAAGTACGTAATCCATCGAGTTGGAACGAGATGACATGGTCACAAATTCGGCGCACTCCATACCAAAGATGAGACGAAGTGGTAACAATTGGCCATGTCACCAACTAGTACACCCAAGGGTCAAGCTAGCAACGATGCACAAGACCAAATCTACTCGACAGCGAACAACGTGTGAAATGTCCAACAAATACCACGCGACACAACATGCACGTTAACCTAGATTAACACGATATTACCATCAATCAATCATTCGACAAGTTGAATTAAAAAGATACGTGCTAGTCTCGGCGCGCGCAATTGGAATCATAGCTGCAAGAGGATGACACAAATTACCAGCACTAGCCGAACTTCTACAGTACTTGCGTGCATATTTGTATCTCAATTCAGGAACCACCAGACATATATGAAGGTACAAAATCTGTGTCATGTATAAAATACGACGCAGCAGAAACGCTCTAAACCAACTGCAAAATGGATGATACAGAAGAAGAAGCATCGCACAGTCATCGGGCGGTCAGTGACCGACAATGGTCTCGAAGCAGTTGAGCCCGTCGAACTGAGGGGCCAACCGCGGCGAGCTCCGCAACACGCTCTGCTTCTCGGAGACGAAAGGGGAGCTTCTCAACGGCTCGTTCTCTGCGATTCTCGAAGCTGAAGATGAAACCGGTTGGACCCTTGACGAGTGCACCCCGTGGGGATCCCTACCGTCATCGCTCACTTTGCTTCTTTTGCTGTCCGAAACGGCATGAACCTGCAAAGAACCCCGACATTACCCATTATAAATTTCTGCAACCCACAGAGAGGGAGAGGGAGAGGGAGAGGGAGAGGGAGAGGGTGGGGACGACCTCAGTGGCGTACATGGCTAGAGCAGCAAAAGAAGTGGACATGGACATCGGTGAAGGGGGAGGAAGACTGAATTGAAGTAGAAGAAGAAGAAGAAGAAGATGATGATGATGATGATTGGGTGAGCGGTGGTGACACCTGAAGTTGGATAATAAGGGAGAAGAAGAGACACCTCTTTTTATATGTGGATCGCCTAAACACCGACGGCACGCCGTGTGGAGTCTGTGGACGGCAAAGCGCAAGAAAAACGTGGGTTTTATCTTCTTGTTTTGTATCGTAGGCCTATATATTTTACGGAAAATGAGTGATTTAAATTATATTTTCTTTATAAAATTACAAAAATGAATGAATGAAAAATATTTTTTTTGTCCACCGAAATGTTTAGACATAAATTGTTGTTTTCAAGTGACATAAGCGATCATATTCAGGAAAATATTTCTAAATTATCCATTCTCTGTGAAATTAAAACAGAAAAGATAGAAATGTTTAGACATAAGTTTTTGTCGATAATTAAACATTTTTCATCAACTAATTATTTCAAGCGTTACAAGCGATTATTTTTAGGAAAATATTTTTCAAATCATTTATTTTCCGCAAAACATAACGGAGCTTTATTTTTTGGTCGTTTTCACGCATTTCATGTGAGGAAAGGGAAATCTTTGATACAGTTGGAATTCTTCGCCAGTAAAACAGAAGGTCAAGTTGCAACTAAGGGTGACAAACCTTTGAGGCTGCTCATGGAATTGCCATTCCATGGAGTTACTTAAGTGGACTCTACGACTACGAGTGCGAAAAACAAGGTATGGGTACCTGACTCCTGTCCTTCTCTTGGTATAAAGGGAGCTAATCAATCGGACGCCTGGGATAATTTTTCAAGAATTAAAGATGAGAACAAACAGAGAACAACTGAGGTAAAGTGCATTCACTGTAGGACTGAGTATAATTACTCTGTTGATCATAGAACGTCTACTATGTGGAAGCACCTGAAAAAGTGCAAAAAGGGGGGAAGAACAGCATTGGTGCCAAAACTTGTGTACGGAGGCCACTTTGGTGCCAAAACTTTCAATCGGATCACTTAAGTGCCACTTCGCCGGAAATTCGACGTGGCATTTTTTTATTAATTTCTCAAGTTGATGTGGCTCGCCGGAGGCCGATGTGGCTCGCCGGAGGCTGATGTGGCATTTCTTTTCTTTTTTTTTTCCTTTTCTTTCTTTTTTCCTTTCTTTTCTTTTTTTCTTTTCTTTCTTCTTATTTCCGATGGCCGGCGTCCCGGCCACCGGCCATGGCCGGCCTCGCCGGCCTCGCCTTCCTCCGGGCGAGGCCGCCGTGGCCTCGGCGAGGGCCGGCCTCGCCGGATCTCGGGCGAGGCGAGCCCTCGGCCGGGCTCGCCCCGCCCGTGCGAGGGTCGAGGTCGCCTAGGCAGGGGCGAGCCCCCGGCGAGGGTTCGCCTCGCCAGATCTGGGCGAGGCCGGCCCTCGCCGAGGCCACGGCTGCCGCCGCGGGGCTCGCCCCGCCCAGGCGACCTCGACCCTCGCCTGGGCAGGGCGAGCCCCGGCGAGGGCTCGCCTCGCCAGCCAGATCCGGCGAGGCCGGCCCTCGCCCGGAGGAAGGCGATGCCCGGCGAGGCCGGCCATGGCCGGTGGCCGGACGCCGGCCATCGGAAATAAGAAGAAAGAAAAGAAAAAAAAAAGAAAAGAAAGAAGAAAATCAGAAAAAAATATTTTAAAAATTGAATTATACACATGAAAATGCCACGTGTCATTAAAATTTAAATATAAAAGCCACGTATTAAATTTGATCGGAATTTCTCGCCGTTGGCACTTAAGTGATCGTTTTTTCTCCGATTTGGCACTTAAGTGATCGCCGGCGTAAACTTTTGGCACTTAAGTGATCCAAATGAAAGTTTTGGCACCAAAGTGGCATCCGTACACAAGTTTTGTCACCAATGCTGTTCTTCCCCCGTGCAAAAAGTATCCTCATGCAAATAAGAAGCAAAAATTGTTTGTACCACGTAATAAAGATTTGGTTAGCGAGGTAGGGGAAAATACTGGTGCCGGTAGTGTCTTAATAACGTGGAAGTTTGATCAAGAACGTTGTAGGCACATGCTTGCTCGGATGATCATTATTGATGAACAACCTTTTTTCATGATTGAGTGTGTCGGTTTTTGTGATTTTGTCACTGAATTACAACATTTCTTCCAACATTTATCACGATTTACGGTGGTTAGAGATTGTATGAAGTTGTATTTGAGTAAAAGAACTTGTTTGAAAGCTTACTTTGGTAAGCTTAATTATAGGATTGCACTCACGACTGACATGTGGAGTTCCATTCAAAACTTGCACTATTTATGTCTCACTGCACATTTTATTGATGAAAACTAGAAGTGACATAAAAGAATCATCAATTTTGTGGTGATGCATAGTCATAAGAATAGGGAGATTAGGAAAATGGTGGAGAAGTGCATTTACGAGTGGGGGATAGAAAAGAAGGTATCCATAATAACCATATATAATGCTAGTTCCAATGATGTCGCCGTTGGTTATTTGAAGGAAAAATTTTCAAGGGAAAGGTTTTGATCTTGAATGGTGATATTTTACATTTGAGGTGCACTGCTCATACATTAAACTTGATTGTAAGAGATGGATTGAATGAGGTGCGTGATTCTATTGCAAGTATCTTAAACGTAGTTAGGTATGTGAGGAGTTCTCCCATGAGAGCTCAAACATTTTAATCTTGTATTGAGAGTGAAAAGATTGCATACAAGGGTTCAATTTTTCTTGATGTTGCCACTAGATGGAACTCCACTTACCTAATGTTAGACTGCCATAAAGTTCAGTAAAGCTTTTGAAAGGATAGAAGAAGATGATTTATCATTTTTTAAGGGAGACTGACGATGATTCTCCTCGAAATAAAGATTGGGAAAATGCTATAATTCTTTCTAAATTTCTAAAATAGTTTTATGATGCCACCTATAAGAGAATCAGTTTAAAATTCAAACTATCCTCCATAATTTCAGCCTTTTCATCGTTATAAATAGCTGTCAATTAGTTAAGATTTTCTCCATATTTTTCCTTGTACATGCACTATAAATATCATTGAAATACAGCAATGAAAATCATCCCGAAAATATTCTCTCAATCTCCCTTTTATGGTATCAGAGCGGGTCTGTCTGCTCCTAAGAGCCTCTCTCATCCCGTTTTTAACTTGTTTTTTTTTTGCCTCCTCTTTAAAAAAAAAAAAAACCTAGCCATGGCTGCCACAAACTCTGCTTATGAAACAATCCTCCCCGAAATTCCTGCAGCCACTTCAACCTGACTTGTTGCAATCTCTGCTGGTGCGCAGCTTCCCATGAAGCTGACTTCCACCAACTATGCTTCTTGGCGGGCTCAATTCATGTCCTTGCTAGTCGGATATGACCTTAAAGCATTCATTGATGGAACGGGCCCTTGCCCACCGGAAGAGATCACCCTTGGCAATCAAACAGTCCCAAATGCCGCCCACTTTCATTGAATTAGACAAGACCAACTTTTGCTGAATGGGATTTTTGCTTCCACTTCCGAAGCCATCATTCCCCTTATTGCCTCTTCTGCAACATCTCAAAGTGCATGGAACAAACTTGCAACACTTTACGCAAGCAAATCCCAATCCCGCGTCATGCATCTCAAGGACCAATTATTAACGGTTAAGCGCAACTCTCGTTCTATTTCTGATTTTTTACAGCAACTAAAATCTATTGCAGATGAGTTGGCAATGATTGATTTACCTCTCCATGACGATGACCTTGTCATCCACGTTCTTCAGGGATTAGGACTGGAACACCATGAAATCGCAGCGGCGATTCGTGCTCGTGAACACACAATCACTTTCAAGGAACTTTATGACAAATTAGTCGCCCATGAAATATTCCTTCAACATGAAGAAATGGTAGCTGAAGTCCTGCCGGTAACAACCAATTTTAGCACTCGAAACGCTCGAGGTCTGAGAGCCCCATCCCGATGGAACAATTATGGGCGTTCTGAAATGCCTGCTAAAGACTCCGGAAATTCCCTTGGCACCCGCAATTCAGACTGTCGAAGAGATCACAGAAGTAGTGACTCACGGTCTCCATAGCACAACAGCTCTCGGCCCGTTTGTCAATATTGTGATCGCGTAGGACACTCCGCCAAAAATTGTTTCCGTATTCGAGACGCAATCCGTGCTTCGGTTGCAAATGTTGCAACCGGCCCAAGTTCAACCCGAGAAGTGGGTTGGTTGATTGATTCAGGAGCATCATATCATGTTACAAGTGATCTCGCTAATTTATCTCTATGTAGCGAGTATGAAGGCCCGGATGAGATAGTCATTGACGATGGCTCAGGTTTGAGTATCACTCACATTGGTTCTACTATATTAAATTAGCCGCATACTTGCTTTCAATTGTCTAATGTTTTATGCACTCCTCACATAACCAAAAATTTAATTTCGGTTTCACAATTTTGTTGTACTAACCGAGCCTCGATTAAATTCTTTGCCTCTCATTTTTTGGTGAAGGAACTTTGAACGGGAGCAACGCTACTTCGAGGAGAACTTAGAGATGTCGTTTATCGGTGGCCGCCATCCTCTTGGCAGCCACATGTCTCACACATGGCTTTTGGTTGGTGAGCGGACGCGAGCAACTAGGGGTGAGCAACTTGGACCGCCCAAACCGGGACCGGACCGGACCGGACCGGACCGACGAGTTTGGTCCGGTTCTCGGGACTATCGGTCCGGTTCCCGGTTCCTAAAAGCGGAACCGGTTTCCGGGCGGTCCGGTTCCCGGTTCCAAGGGGGAACCGGACCGGACCGGACCGGACCGACTATTTAATATATATTTTTGTTATTTTTTTCTTTAAAAAAATAATAAAATGTGAACTAAACTCTAAGTGAACTTCATTATCATAAATTCATTGATAAAAAATAGTAAAATGCGAATTAAACCCTAAGTGAACTTCATTGACATAAATTTATTGACAAAAATTAGTAAAATGTGAACTAAACCTTAAGTGTTTGACAAAAAAAAAAACCCTAAACTCTAAGTAACCGGTTCCATTGGACCGGACCGAAACCGGACCGGACCGACGGTCCGGTCCGGTTCCCGGTCCTAGAACCAATCGGTCCGGTCCGTGGTTCCCAAA